AGGTCGCCCAGGGCCGGCGCTGCCCTCAGCTGCTGCTGGCACGGCGGGCACAGGAGAGGGAGAGCGCCGCGGCACAGGGTGGGACTCCCAAAGGGACCCGCCGCCCCTGCAGACCTAGGGGTCGGCGCCTACGCAGGCTGGGGGCCTGGAGCCACGGCGGGGTGAACCCCTCGTCCAACAAGACTCAGAGGCGTGGAAGGTGGAGGAGGCCCTTTGCCGCCCTGCCACCTGGCGGCGCTGTGTCCTGGCCTTGACACGTGGGCCAGGGAAGAGGAGCCGGAGCCCGGATCGCCCTGCGCCTGGAGCCCACCCCACCTCTGAACTTGCCGCCTAATGACCCGCCTCGCTGCTGAGGTCAGTTCTGGTCAGACTTTTCGATACTTGCACCCCAAAGCGGCCGAGCTGCTTTGTAGTGCGATGCACACATACACCGCTTTACGTGTTTAACGTGGGTGTGGCGAGGCCCACAGTGGGCCTGTTGCAGTGGGCGTGAGGGCCACAGGGGTGATGACTGTCTAGGCTTTGTGGTCCTGTTGCGGCATTTCCATCCATGTTTCTCACCTCACGTCTCCCGAGGCCACAGGGCTCTCCCCAAACGTCCCGGCGCCATGGTGCTGGGGGCAGGCTCTGCTTAGTTGAGGGTCCCCCTCCCCAACCCCACTGCTTCTGTCTCCTCTGCGCCTCCCTCCTTCCAAAGGCAAAGCGGGGAAGGCGGTGACGCTGCGTGAGGAGCTGGGACGCCCGCAGGTGCCTTGGCGCTCCGGGCCGGTGCGTCCACAGGCCCGTGTGAGCGGAGCCCCCGACAGAGGACGACAGGAAGGAGACAAAGAAGGGGGCCAAGGCCCCTGCGGGCTGAGGATCCTCCAGCCCCGGTGCTGCCTGTGGGAGAGGGCACTGGTCTCAGGCCCGCCCCGCTCCCACGAGCGCACGCTCGCTCTCCGGAGGGAGAGCCGGGGTTTCGGCCCCGCTGCCGCCCGCCTTTATTTAAGGGGCGGAGAGTGTGCAGCTAGGGCGGCCGCGGTCCCAGGCCGAGCTGCCCCGAGCGTGCCTGCCACCTTCTGTTCTCCCTTCATAGCTGAGCATCAGAGGGATGGCCCTTCTGTAGGCGTTGACGTCCGGGTGATGAAAGGCAACCCAGCCCTTGTTTTGGAAGCTCACACCGAGGTCCTCTCCCCATGGCTCAGAAACGCCTGAGCTGGGGTCCAGCCTCGTGGTGTCTCCGGGCCACACCGGAGGGGGAAGAGCTGCCTTGGGCCGCACATGAAATACGTTGCAACATGTAATCACACAAGAAGATCTCATCCAGTTTTCAGTGCATTTATGATTTTGTGTTGGGCCCCAAGCACAGCCGTCCTGGGCGCGTGTGACCCGTGGGCCGCGGGTTGGGTACCCCTGCAAGGCACACAGTTTGGCAGGATGGGAGTCTTTCCAAGGTGCTCTGATCGACGCCCTTCCTGTTCAGAGTGCAGTCCGCTGACGGGCAGCACCGGCAGCACCGGCAGCACCTGGTAGTGCCGGTCCCTGGGCCCCTGCGCTGCGTCGGGCAGCGCAGGCGGACGATCGCGAAGGGGCGCGCCACTCCAGGGCAGGTGGCCTCGGTCTGAGAGCCGTCTGTCCGGGGGCTGCAGTCTCTGCTCCACCGGCGGGGGGCTCAGCGAGGGAGGGGAGTCCTTTCCTGTGCTTTACAAGGCCCATCTCTAAATTGGGAATCATCTTTTTCTTTTTAATAGTGAATAGGTGAAATGAGTGGCATTGTATTCAAATGCATCAAATTCGCAAGTTCCAAGGTGTCATATAAAGTATGTGTAAAAGTTGCATTGGCAAACATTTTTCGGTAATGACCGTGGGTGGTAGCGCTTTTAATCTCCCTGCGGAGACTGAGCGGCGGGAGCTGGGACGCGCGGGCTCCTCCCGCTCAGCCTCACTCCAGGCACCTGGGTGCGGCCGGTGGACGGGATTCTGAATGACACCCTCCCAGGGACAACTCAGTTTCCAAGTGCAAATTCCGACCACATGGGCGGGCCGCTCTCCCTCCCAGGCCCCGGTGAGAAATGAGGTTCTGCGCAGAACGAGAGGGCCTGTGACGTGGTGGCCGTTCCGGGGGGGGGCGTCTCAGCGTGGGAAGCAGCTCTTTCTCCCGGGGAAGGATTTGCTCGGGTGGAGTTGGGAGTTCACCCGTGCTCCGCGTGAGAGTTCGAGGAAGACAGAAGGGACGTAGAAAGACGGGAATGTTCAGTGTCGGTCGTTTTGAAGGGCTTGTTCCTGAGCCTTAACTATGCGCCGTCATTGGTACAGAGCGCGAGACTCCACCTCACGTGAGCATGGAGCGTGGGACCCAGTCGCATCTGTCCCCAGACACACCCCCTTGCCTTCCCGCCTTCCCGCCGCTGAGCGCGCCTCAGCCCACCGCAGCCCCGAGCCGGGGCGCCCCGGAATTCCATCTCAGTGGGGCAAACTCAGATTCTGGAGAGTCTGCTGGTGTGAACGTTAGGGCGGTCCAACCCCATCGTTCTTCTATAGGCAACGACACAGAAAGACAGATGCAGTCACTGTAGGAGAGAAACACTCAGCGCTTGAAAATAAGCATTTCTTTATTTGGGTTTCATTATGCGACACACAAGAGTATCTTCATAGGAGAGCAGGCCTTCCGTGTAGCACGAAAACTAAACAGTGGGCCTCCAGACGTTAGTTCCACTGAGTTTCTCTGCACACCCCACCCCCCAACCAAAGAAGAGGTTGTGTGATGCTGAGATGGCCCAGAATCACGTGCTCTGGACCGCGGCTTGTGTCGTATGGAGGGGGTTCCCGTGCGGGGCGCCCTGGGCTCAGAACTGCGGTCACCTTCCTGGGTTCATCGTCTTCTCGTCCATGAAAAGATTATAATAAAGGCCCGTTGCTGTCCTCTGACACCCCTTTCACCCTCACGTGAGCACGTTTCTACTGCTCTCAGGGAGACGCAGAGCAGCTGCCGCCTGGCGTGCACGCCGACGGGGGACCCAGCCACGGCCCCCAGCGCACGCGATGCCGCTCCAGCGCGCCGGCCAGGGCTCCCTGACACCTCTACCAGGGCGTGTTCCCCGGGGCCTCGGCAGGCTACGAAGGGCACACGACAGCGGCGGCCGTGCCCGGGGGACCCCGGTTCATTTTGGAGCCCGGTGAACTCCCCGACCTTGGACAAGGCCCCTGTTCTTCCTAGTTGTGTTTTCTCCCTTAACAAAACGGGTAGACTGAGATGCCCCCTAAATCCCAGACTTTGCCTTCTAGAGGACAGCAGAGCCTTCCCACTCAGGAAGGACAGAGGGCTCCCCAGGCTTTCCTGCTGGTCCGCACCCAGGCGCGGGCCAAGGACCTCACGGCAGGACCCCATTCGTCCCCTCAGCTCGTCCCTCCGGCTCCCCCTGACCAGGAAAACTGTCCCCTCTGCCCGCCCCCAGAGCCACCGGCAGTGTGCGCGGAGGGGAGAGCACAGGGCACCGGCTCACAGCCGGTGAACGAGTGGGTCAGAGTGTCACACGTGCACACGAGTGAAATGTGCACCTTGTTTGACTTCCTTTGACTATCAAAGGATTCCGTGATCAAGAATTGCCTGAACTGAAACACGTTGGCCACTCTTTACGTATTTTGCATAGGGCTTTTAAAAAAAATTTTTTTTGCCAACGTTCCATAGTTTGCTCATGATAACAGTAACAAGGTTCTCCTATCAAACACTCCTTTTATAGGGTGAAATAACATAATGGTAAAAGTCTTGTGAAAAAGAATTCAAAGTCAAAAATGCCCAACTCTACTGATAACCAGTTTTGCAGCTTGACTTCTGAAATACGCTAAGTCTTTAATTCTGGGCCATAACTAAAAAATTAGTTACAGGGAAATCTAGCTTAAGAAACTCCAACACACCGCCAAATTAACTAATAATGTTTGCATAGATAAATGTTGTGTCTTTAAGTAAGTACCATAAATAACAAATGATATTTAATAAAATGAGAGTGGAAAGTATAGGCAACAGTAATTACAAATCCATCAAACCCGGCCATTTGGCATCTGGGTTGCATTCGTAAAACCTGTGTTGGAGCCCTAGGAAATGAGCCTCCGCGGTGGGTTGTGTTGGCTCTTTTGTATCATGTTTTTTTTTCCTGAAAGTTGCAGTGGCTCATCTGCTTTTATATCGATCTAAAAGATGGCATTTATCCCATGTGTCCTTGTGGTAAAGGGATCAAGAAACAGATTAAAGGCTCGAGTACGAAGCACCGCTGCCCGTGGCGAAGGCCCTGGGAGAGGCAAACTCGGACTCACTGGATTTCCACGAAGGGGTTAAAGCATCGCCCACTGGGAGTGGGGTGGTCGTCCTCAGCGTTAACCCAATGAAAGCCAGAAGCAGGAAGCCAACAAGCAGGTCCCCACGCAGGCAGGCCGGCCTGGGCCTTGAATGGTATCATCTGTCAAGTTCCCAGCACCTTGCGGTGGTGAACACAAGACGCAGGTCTGTGTCGTGTGAGGACATTACACCCTCATTAGCCGAATGCTCCTCAAGCACAGAACACAGGGTTTCCAGCTTAATAAGAAGCAGCCCCTTGTCACCGCGCCTTCACTAGATAAATACGGAACGCAATACTAATGACCACTTACAGAGCTGATCCTGCTCCCAGAATCTCCATTCACATGGAACCCTGCAACAATTTATAGACCATATTATGCAAAACTTGTGTTGTTGCTTTGCACACTATTCCAATTTTTTTTTTTAAATGCTGCAACCCGTCAAAGGGATCTGAAATGACGTGGTTTGCAGTTTTTGCACGCAAAACAAATCTGAAGTCACGAGGGAAGGGCAAGGCAGAGCTGGGAGCCCCTCCTCCCTGTGCGCCTAGCAGAGCGAACCCCCCCCCCCCCCGCCGCCCCCTGTCCAGCCCCAGCCCCCCAGGCTGACGTGCGGAGAGGCCACCCCAGACCCGGGATGATTCATCCCCACGCCCGCCCAGCCCCAGCCCCGGGCCCGTCTCTAAAACAAAGGCTGCCAATGGCCCTGAGTTATGGATGCACTTTCTGTGCTGTGTGATCCCGTCCAGGAGAAGGTGTGGGGGGGCCGAAGGACATTTCACCTCCCATTAGAGGCTCGTCTTGAACGATAATCCCAGAAGATGAAACTGGTGCTGAACTATGACCTTCAATTTACAAATCATTTTTCAGAAGAATAAAAAAAAAAAGTTCAAACATCTTTTTGGCATTACGTGAATGGGCGGAATCTTTCACGCTTGCTTCCTGAGGCTGAATGGAGGCGGCCTGCCCTGCCGTTCCTGGGTCTGGAGACAGGCCCGCTCGGGGGGTTCAGATGAGATTTTATTTCAAACCTGGGTGTTTGAATTCTTTTTTTTTCTTAAAAAAACATAGCTGAGTTTAGTATATTCCTTCAAAACACAATAAATTCCTGTTCTGTAGCTTAAGGGATCCATCAGTAAAAATGTTGGTCTTTCATCTTTATTACCCTCCCATTAAAATGAAAGAAACCGGGACGCACTTCAGTTTAGCAGCAGCCGTTCGGCCGGTGCAGAGTCGCGACAAAGGGAGGGGCGTGTCCTCTCACGCGTCCGCCCGCAGGGGCCGCCGGGGCCCGCACACACGCACCGCCTTCGGTTAAGGCTGTTCCGTGGCGGCGAGGGGGTTCGGTCGTCGCCACGTTTTTTCCCGTTTGCAGCCATTTCCGGGGCAGAGCCGGTCAGGAACCTGCCCCCGCCCCTCGCGAGTCTGTGCCTCGGAGCGCCTGGCCCAGCCCCGGTCCGCCCTGCCGCTGCCGCGCGGTCTGCAAGGGGCAGATTAATGGCCGAGCCCCGCACTGGACCGGCTTTCCCTGTCCCCTGCACTGGTAACCCTTTGCTATAATGAGGACACAAAGAGCCTCGCATCAGGCCACTACCCTTCCTCATAACTCAGGAGCCTCGCAGTGGCAATAGCCTCCGGTGCCATTTGTCTTTAGTGCAGTTGTGACACTTCGGCATGATCCATAATTTGGCAGCTATTTACCGTGACATTTCCCTTCAGCGCAGCCATAACATTCAGTGAAGCTGTTATTTGGCCCCATTTACCATATAAATTGTATTGTTGTGCATGCATGCTAGCAGCTACATTAGGTACCTGAAAATGAGTAAATCTCGTGAAATAGATACGAACAGCGACTGGGCAGTAGGATTTCCTTGCTCCTCGGACGGGAGACAAGAAAAATGAATCACGGTCACCCAGGTTTCTGGATCACCTTTAATTGTCTTCCTATTTATTTAGCATGTGAGACACAGAAACCCCAGGGTTTGAAAAATAACCTGGCGGGCCCTGCCCTCGATTACAAAAGCACTGTGGGATTTCCGGGGCCACGGCGGGGGCTGCGGCAGCCTTCGGGGGGCGGGAGGCTGGGGGCAGGCGGGCAGGGCGGCTGCAGGTGTGAGTCGAGGGGAGGCGCTCGTCTCCGTGGGCTCCTGGGACACCAGGCGGCGGGGCACGCAGCACCTCGCCCCACCAGAACCCACGGAGGAGGAAGACGGGAACACAGGAGCGGGGGCTGCTACTCTGGCCCCCGATCGGAGGTGAACACACCTCCCGGGCCGGCCGCCTCTGCGGGGGAGCCACTGTTCTGCTTCTGGGGACGCTTTGCGCGGTCAGGCCCACCCCGGGCGTCTGTAGGGACCCCCAGGGATGGGCCTGGAGCGGCTTGCCCTTGCTGGTTACGGGGACCCTCAGTGTGGATGGGGTACACACCTTTTAGGTTGTTCGAGCCCCCCAACTCTGTCGTCCGCTCCCCACACCTGCTTTTGCCTACGTAAGTTCTGTTCGGCCCCAAGTTGCTGCTTTAAGGGAGGAGTGAAATTGTTCCTTCCAACAGGGGCCTCGCCTGGCAAAAGCTCCACCAAGTACAGGACCCTTCTTTAAAACAGGCCTGCGCTCACGTCCTCAGTTCTCCTAATACCCTAATGAAAGTCAAAGTTAGGGGAAAGGGCCTCCAACTTTCTGTTTAGATAGCTGGCTAGTAATTTCTAGGAAAAGAGGGGACCGTTTCCTGAGAATATGGACTCTGAAATACGACTGAGTTTGGCGCTCTGTCCCACTTATTAACTACCTATTAGCCCAAGACCAAAGTCTGCCAAAGCAAAGAATTTGTGAACTATTTTCAAGACCAATTTTAAAATCTCATCAAGCTGAAGACATACTGATTTGATCAGCCCTCGCATCAGGAATTAATTTGGTTCCCAGGAACAATAAAATCTGGAATGAGACTGTCTATGACCAAAGGGCTGAACATAAAGGTTTCTACCTCTGAGCTACAGAAGAAAGTTTTAGGAGCACGTTATTTTTTCAAGGGAGGTGGGGGGGGGGGCAAGAAAAAAGGAAGGAGAAAGAGAAACCCACGCATTAACACCATACTTTGGTTTTAAAAAATACTATCTCCGTTACCGACTAAAAATAAATTGGTCAGAGTGGTTCTGAAGCCTCAAGTACCTTTCTTTCCCCTTTGATTTATGCCGTTGCTCTGTTTCTACAGCTTACTGTTGACAGAGTGAGGTAATTCAACTACGATTTTCCCAGTGTTTTTCCTCGCATACATGTACTCGACAGCCCGGAACACGGACTCCAGGCCCGTGAACCTGCCCTCGGCGGACAGGTTGCCCTGGTCCACCTGGCACACCAGGTCGCCGCGGGCGCACATCTTCACCAAGTGGTCCATGGACGCTCTGTGCTCAGAAAGGTACTGGTTCAGAAAGAAGCCCTGGACGCTGGCGGATTTCCTCAGCAGTTTGACCGGTAACGTGCCTGCCTTCACGGGCGAGAGGCCCGTAGGCGTTTGGTAGCCAGAGATAAACCCAATCACTAGCAGGCGCCCCTTGACGGCCAAGGCGTCTACAGCCAGGTCGAACATGGCGCCCCCCACGGACTCATACACCACGTCCACCCCGCCGGGGTACTCCCGGGCCAGGACCACACCGACGGGCTCCGCGTTATAGTTGATGGGCCGGTCGCAGCCGATGGATTTCAGGAAAGCAGACTTTTCGTCTGAAGAGCAGGTGCCAATTACATGGCACTTGGCCTTCTTTGCCAGCTGCACGGCAAACTGGCCCGTCCCCCCGGCTGCCGCCGTCACCAGCACTTTCTTCCCTTCCTCCAGTCCTCCCAGCTCTTTGAGGCTGATGTGCGCGGTGGCCCCACTGACCAGCAGGGTGAGATACGCGGGCGTGGCCGCGGGCACGGGAGTGGCCGCGTGGGCAGGCACCACTGTGTACTCGGCGAAAGAGCCGGGGGCCATGTAGGCCACCGCCTGGCCCACGGCGTACCTGGCGCTGGCAGACAGGCCCAAGGCGACCACCTCACCCACGCCTTCGAAGCCCACGTCAAAGGGGGTCTTGACTGAAGGGTCATATCGTCCGGCAGCGTAGTTGACATCAGATGCATTAACACCGACAAATCTAGAAGAAAACAATAGATACATTAAGGTGTTTTCTTCTCAAAGCCTTTACAGTCCTCTTCGAAGAGCCCCTCTGACTCCAAGGCCGGGGAGGGCTGGCGGCGAAGCCAGGCACGCGGGCAGGGCAGGAGACGCGAGTCCCAGGTTCCGCTGAAGGAGTAGACAAGTTATTATCAGTTCAGCAGGGATTTGCGGTCAGAGTTTTGCTGTCATCAGTTTAAGAGTAATTTCAATCACTTTAAACATCAAATTATTTATTTCGCATGTCACGTATTTCCCTCCTCTTTCTTTCAAACGGAGAAATAAATCAAAACAAACAAACAAAAAATGTCAGGAAGCTTTCTTATCCACAAACTTCACCGGAGCTGAGCTGGAAATTAATTGGCCTCTTAACAAAGATGTTAAAAACAACAGTGGATAAAATATTTTCAAAGAAGCAGACTTGTATTGATTTCGGCCACAATTCACCACTCCAGATAGTAACAGCCATGGCAATGGTATTATTAAAGACTGGGGCGATGCGCAAGGCCGTCACTGTGGGGTTGTTTCAAGCATTGTTAGGAGTCACGGCAGCAAATTTTCTTTCTTATGTGACGGTGTCCAGTGTGAAAATATGCGCTTTGATTAATTGAACAAAAATTGTCTCATAAGGGGAGAGAGATTTTATGGAACATTCAACATTTTACAGTCCTTTTCAGATGAAAAGGAAGGCAAATCGTCACTATATTTTTCCTCAACAAGAAGCAGAGACCTAAGTTGATTAATACCAGATGATTATTTTCACTTTGGTATCCAGAGTCAATTTAATTGCGAGGCCAGTACTTTTACCGGCTTTTTTTCATCTCGGTATACCTCATAACAAAAATATCCTGGTACGTACGGGGGTGGGGGGAGCCGTCTACCAAGAATGCCAGGAGGTGGCTCAGACACATAATGGACGACCCCCAAAATGTCGTTTCCACCTGTAATGCAGGGAAGGGGCGCTGGTGCCCGGTGGCAGGAGGAAAGCTGGTAAGTAGGTCATTTTAGAATAATTCACTGTTAGTTTAACTTAATAAACCCGGACTGCTCTGTGCAGGGATCCGCTTCTGCAGAACTGGGGGCCACACTTGGCCCTTAAAAACGCTCCCCACAGGCGGCGGCCTGTGCAGCGACCGACCGCGCCGAGGGCTCTCTGCCTCTCTGCAGAGCGCAGTGCAGCACAGCGAGCAGCACGCAGGGAGCCACTCTCCCCAGCGCGCAGGCTGCTCTCAGAAGTTACGTCCCAGCAGCCTGCGCCACGGCAGAACTCCACGCCGCAAATGATACACAGTAATGAGACGTGCGGGAAATGCTGTTTGCTGGTTTCTCTCTTGGCATTTAATGCCAAGATGCTTGCGTTCTGCTTGGGGGTGGGGGAGGTGCAGCCTGCTTGCTCTCCTTGGAGGCACCCAGTTCTCCAGGCCTGGTCTTTGTAGAGGGGGCCAGATTCCCTGAGCAGGCAGGAGGCTGGTCTCCCCAGAAGGCAGCCAGGGCCGAGCCCAGAGGCAGCGCCTCTCTGTGACCTGCCTGGGCTCTAATGCAGACTCTGGGGAGGCTTCTTATGCTGGAAATGACCAGGCCCCGCAGGTCCCCACAAGGAACCCTTCCCGCCCCCTCCCCCCAGTCTTGTCCCTCGGGTGCTTCTGCCCGCAGCCTCAACTGTTGAGGCTGCCTTTGCTCTGCGAGGAGACCCCGCCTTGGACTCTGAGGGACGCCTGGGTGGCAGCCAGCCCCTTGGATGCCGCCCTCGGGGCCCAGGAGCTGGAGCCAGGGCTGGGGGCAGCGTCCTGGCTCGCCTGGGCCCCACGCTGTGGCTGTGGTGGGCCTGCCACTTCCTGGGCAGAGGTGAGACCCAGCAGGGCGCTCCCCGCGCCAGGAGACAAGCCGGGGAGAGGGCGCCGGACCCACCGGCACGGAGCGGGCCCAGCCGGGTGTGGAGACAGGCGCTGCTGGGAGCTGGCGTAGCTGCAGCCCACCAGCAGAAGCTCGAGGTTGCCTGCAACAAGTCAAACGTTGCAGTCGAGCGGGGACGTCCACCAGCGCAGCGACAGGGCTCTCGCAGGCCCGCTGCCGCTGTCTCCCCAGAAGTCGGTGCTTCCCGCCTGTCTCCCTCGGACCTGCGGGCCTCCGCGGACAGCCCGGCCCTCCCGCCGCCCCGCACCGCTCCTCGCCCCCGCCGCCGCCCAGAGGCTCCATCCACGTCTGGGACTCAGGAGTGCGCCGGGGCCCTGCCCCCCGCGCCGGGTGAGGGCCAGGCGCAGGCCCATGGCCATGACCTCGGCCCAGCCGGCAGTGCGGGTCCTCGGCGCACTCACCCCGAGCTGTGGCCCGGGGCAGTCATGTTCCGGAGGAGCCGGGGCACCCAGCGCCCGTCGGCGCAGCGGCCACCCGACGGAGGACCCCCACCGGTGGTGTGACTGTGACCTTGGCCTCATGGGCACCCCCGTTTTCTGTTCCCCAACCCCCACCCCGGGCCCTGCCTTCTCCTAACTCACGCATGGTGGGTGAAGGTGTCTCAGGCTGGTGGTGAACCCGGGCCCCCCCACCGCACCCTCTCCAGCTCCCACCAGCCTCTGTGTGTCCCCAGACCCGTCTTGGCAGGGCCGGGCCCCCAGGCTGGTGGGAGTCTGCCTGACGTGCCTCCGTGCTCACCTGGGCTTGGGGAGGGCTGCCTGAGAGCCAGGAGCCCGCAAGTTCTACCCCGCCAGAAGCCAGTTCAAGAGCCTCGGTGCCAGGGGCGAGGGGTCCCCGGAGAGCCGGGGGAGGGAAGGAAAGACCCACCGGGAGGGTGCGTGCCGGGAGGCTCCCCAAGAGCCCCTTTAATTTAAAATCGGTGCTTTTGGCGAGTGCAGGGTCCCAGCAATCCCAGAACAGGGCCCACCCAGAGGGGCAGTGGAGGAGCCCCGGGGAAAAAGGAAGGCATGTGGCGGGCTTTCCCTCAATATAGATCCTTCTGGACTCACCCCATTTATTTATATTAAAAAGCACTGGATCTCTTCATGTGGACTGGGAAACAGGGCCGTCCTGCGGGGGCGGGGGGGGGGTAGGAGGCCTCTTCCCCCGAACAAAACCGAAGGCGAAGGCTCTGGTTGGAAGCAAACGCCTTTGCTACTGGGAGGCAAAGTGAGTCCCAAGTCGTACAAACCGGACTCACATTTTTCTTTTTTTAAAAAAAAATACAAAATAAAAAAGAAGAAGGAAGAAGGAAAAGGGAGAAGAAAAATTTTGGCCTGGAGAGTGCGCGGAAATACTGCTCTCCTCCCGTGAGCAACAAACCGTTTATCCCAACGCCTTCCCCATCCCCCTTCTCCTTTCCCTCCTGCAAACTCTTCGCTCCATTATCTTACCCAGGAGCAGAAAATCGTTAGGAATATTTGGGAACGAAATAATGTGTCGCTATGGTTCAAAAAAAGCTAAAAATAGCGCTCCAGCTGACTTCCCGGGGGGTGTTACTCCCTTTCCTTTTCCTCCCCAAGGCTGGGCCTCGAGGAGACACCGAAGCTGTCGGGGCGCAAGGACCAGGAGGGCCAGGCCCAGAGGCAGGGGCGCGCCTGGCAGGCTGGGGGCAGCTCAGGCGCCCCTTCTCGCCCTTCCTAAGTGGTCCCCTCGGCCAGCCCGGTCCTCCTCGGGCAGAAAAGCACTTCCCTGCCTGTGAAGAAAGACCTGTTTTCCGTTGCGAGGTTGTGAGATGTACAAAGGGCTCCCCTGAAAGGAAGAGTCAGACCTCCACACACCTTTCCAAATAAGTGCATTTGGGCTTCATCCATTCACTCCAGAGCAGACTTCATCATGATAAAATGGAGATGCTCGTGCATAACATTTTCATGCAATTAACACTGTTCTGGGGACATTTGGTCTAGAATTAAGATGAACTAACCTGCAGTGAATTATTAAGCCTCTATTCTTGAGAGGGAGAGAGAGGGAGAGGAAAATGCCACCCCCACCGACAGCGTCTGCGAGAATAAAGGCTCTTCCTGCAGTCGGGGTAGCAGCAGAGTCGCCAGCAGAGTGGGGAGGAGGGGAGGCCGAGGTCCCCCCTCAACCCCCCAACAGGCAGAAAGCTGCCTCCATTCTCTTTCTGCTGCGGGCTTCAAGGCAGAAGTTAGAGGTCAAGTTGTACATATCAATATACTTACTATTTACGTTAAAGGGATTCTTGGCATAGGTGGCCGGGAAAGGCATCGATCTTAAAGCAGCCCCGACTGATGAGCTCCGAGCGTGACAGCCGGTGGTCCGGCGCTCTGGCCCGGGAAGTCAGGGATTCCTGCCGGCGAGGCAGCGCCGGGGGTGGGGGCGCCCTGGCACCAGGCAGGGACGGGGACAGCGAGGGGCGGCCGTGAGCGCGAGCGGAGGGGAGCCTCAGGAGGAAGGACGCCGGCGGAGTGGAGGCCGGAGAGCCCGCACCGACGACGGCGGCGGCGACAGCAGCCTCCGTCCAGGGCTCGGGTTGCGGTCCCACCTCGCCGCGGCCGGTCGCGCGCTATCCCGCACCTTCCCGCCGGCGGCGAGGCTCGGCGGGCCCCTCCCCATCCCAGACCCCGTTTCTAAAAGGGATCCTACTGAAGACCTCGTGTGCGCCAGAAAAAGGAAACCAAAGACTAGGAAACTTTTTGCCTGCTAGAGCCCGTGTGGAGGCTTTTCAGTCTGGGGGCTCATCTCCGCTTCCAGCAAATCGCTCGTGTGTCTTTCACGTTCTGCGCGGGCGCGCACAAACCCTCCTTCCTCCCTTGGCAGGACCCGCGTCCTGAAGGGCCGTAGCATCTCACCCTATGATGCACAGATCTTCTGCTTCCACCCTGGCAGACTTTTTAAAGGACACGCGCATCCCACCCTTTAAAGCACCTCCTCCCAACCTCGACTCAATCCCCCCTCCCCGAGGCTCACTAAATGTTCACGTTTCCAACCAGTTTCCAAAAGTTTGACATTGTGATCAGAATTCTTTAGTTTTACAGTCTTATCTGGAAGGCTGATTTTGGAATCTCCAAAATGGCCCGATGCAACGTTGCATCAAGCTCCTTAGGCAGAGCACACACCGCCCCTCGTCCTTGCAGGGGACGCCGAGTGCTTCCTAGCGCACAATTCACAACAGAGTTACCGTCAGAACTTTCTCCTCCCCTTGGGGTGTGATGCAGCCTGAAGCTGGAAACACTGCAGCCCCTCCGGCGGGACCCTGCAGGCGGGGGAGCCCTGCCCTTGCGAAGGGGATGGAGGAACCCGGCGCACACCCCGCCGGCCAGTCCGGCAGCGAGGCGCCCCATCCGGAGATACCCGCGGGCCTGGCTCCCACAGAGCGAGGTGCCTTCCCTTCCTGTTGCTTCCCCGGTTACTGACCATTAGTGGGGCGGAAGCACATTAAGGTGGGGAATGGAGCGGTGGAAAAGACAGAGGTCGGGCCACGACCCCAGGGTCCCCGAGGGTCTGCAGACCGTGCGGGCCGATGCAGCCATGCCCCCGCCCCGGCCCGGCCGCCCAGGACGCGCGCCACACGCCCTTCGTACACTCTGGGGGCACAGACAACAGTCACACGGCACTGACAACACTGACGACCCCGGCGAGGGGCACACCAACACACTCAGAGACAGGCTCCGCCACGGCGAGGCGACTGCCAACCTGGAGCGGACAGGAAAAGCCAGCCGGGTCCCTGGCCTTCCTCCGAAGCACGTCACCGAAACGTCGCAGTCTGTGTCCAGGCTGCTCCTGCTCCACCCTAAAGATTATGGGAACGCGGGAGCCCTGGGTGCGCGTGGGTGGGCCGGGCGGGAAGCCTCCGCTTCTGGGTCCCGTCGGTTTTATTTCGGGAGCGGGAGGGGGCGGAGGGAGGGCTGGTGGAGGGGAGGGGAATCCCAAATTAAAATAACCCCCAGTTATGAGGACGTTCAGTGGCATCGGATATTCACACCAGCAACAGTCTCATTACATTCGCCTTCGCCAGATGGCGGCGGGTTCAACTTCCCGAGATCTCGCAAAGTCAGGCTGTGCGCCCGAGAGCGCCGGGTGCGGGGACCGACAGCCCAGGAGAGGCGAGGCCGGGGCGAGCGCGCGCGCCGGGCTCACCGGTTTCGGACGAGGAGGTCTCCGTCCCCCGGGAGTGGCACCGGGCAGTCCCGGAGCAGGGTGACGGCCTCGCGGAAGTCGGGGCTCAGCCGAGTCACCACCAGCTTCTGCATGGCGTGGGGGATGGCGGAGCCCTGGAAGTCCAGGAAGTGGCGGGCGTACGACATGTCGACGATGGTTCTGGCCCGGGCGGACGCCCACCGCAGCATGGCCCGCGCCTCCGCCCGCTTTCTGCGCCGCCGCAGGCCAAGGTCGCGACCGGCCCGGGCTGCTGGGCTCGGCTCGGCGCGGGCGGGCGGGCGGAGCCGGAGGGTCCGCCCCTCCTCCGGCCCGCGCCCTCCCTTCGGCGCCCCCCTTTCCCCTCCACGCCTGGCGCTCGCCCCCCTCCCGCGCGCAGCTCCGGGAGACCACGCAGCCCCCGCGGTTCCCGGACGCGCCACCCCCGGGGTCCTGGCCGGGGACTGCCGCCGGCCCGGTAGCTGCTCCTT